GTCATCACTTCCAGGGAGAAAAACTCATGGATCTGATAATGTTTTCATGAAAATGAGAGTGCCTATACTCAATGTAAGCTGCTCCATCATTACTCTTTGTATGAAAGACTGGCTCATTTTCATTAACCGGAACAACATCTTTAAAATTTTCATATGGACACCCCCTGCAAGTTCGACAATTCTCAACTGTGGACATCAGTAACTGTAGTTCTGAGACTAAAGTTACAACACCAGGTATGTCTGCCCATTCTCCAAGTATCTTTGCATTGTCTCTTTTTTTGCCATCCAAAACAATATACCATGACTGGTCAGAATTAATTATTATCTCTACCTCCGCATATCCGTCATAACCAGAGAAAAAAAAGGTGGCCTGCCTGACTCTCCGATTACTTTGTAATTTACTTTCCACCGAGTGAATTTCTGTAGGATAGAAACCTGTTCAATACCCTCCAGATCTAACATCTCTGACCCACTCCTTGCATCTTGACTCACAACATCAGCTCTTGCACTATTACTGGATTCTACCAGTTTTGAACACTCCTTGCTTAGGACACTTCGCAAATTCTCAACTCTGTCTCTTTCTACAGTATTTGAATCAATGAGCAATTCTTCCAAAACAGGTTTGAAGCCATTTAAAACTTCAACAACACTTTCTTATAGTAGTTCCAGCGCACTGTACCTTTCACTTTCCCAAGACCTTTCACTAAATTGTTTGTTACACGATAAAAGTAGTTCCGGAGGTCATTAATATCAAACTGGACATGGTACACACTGACAATGGCATTCACAATTGGGTAGTACTTTTCCTTCGATTTACGTTTCAAGTTGAAACCATTATCAGGAAAGGCTGTGACAGCCAGCGAATATAAAAGTAATTCTTCTTCAACTAAAGGAAACTCTGTTCTTAGCTGTGAAAAGAAAGCTGGCTTCTGACATGCAGATGGTATCCATACACATGTTTTGTCAGGAGGTTGAGCTTGCTCATGGCCTCTGATTTCAGACACACAACTAGCACTTGCTTCACTTTGAGTTGATTCTCCAAGGGTAGTACTCACTAACTGAAACTTCCCTCCTAAAGTTTCACTCCTTCTACCGTTTTAGGTGATATAGTTAGACATGTTGGCAAAGGAATTTGCCTTTTTGGGAATTACCTTCATTCATGGCAGACCACGAGGATTTAATTTTATTCCACTCGCTAAGAGTGGTACAGAAAATGTTGTTTGTGTTTTTATGGTAATGACCGGGATACGTTTCAATCAGTGAAGTAATTTTCTGTTTACCTCTCTTAGTACATAGCAAATAAGTTGTTCAGTGTAAGTTGTTGAGCAAATCAGCTGTCCTAACACAGTCAGGTCAGTCATTTCAAATAAAACCGCTTAGATCTTTATTTCACGAGGATGTTTAAGTTCTATCGGTATGCCAAACCGTTTTCGAAGTTCAGTAACATTTCAGGTACTCGAACTCCTTTAAATAAGTCACGATCGATCACTACAGACATTGAATTCACGATAGGTTTCTGAAACAGTTTACAAACTACTAAATCAAGAAAGAGAAGCCCTGTATTGACAAGATAAACGGGAACGTTTGTATGAGACCTTGCTATTGCCATTTTGAGCTTCAAGCCGCTATTTCAGAGGACAAGAAACCACAGAAGTTCATTCTTAAAATTTGCATGCACAAACAAAATTATAAAACCATAACATATTTTTTTGGTAGCCGTTTATTATCATTTGATTTCGATCGACAAGCCAAAACGCGACCTTCAACCCGAATTGCTCGATAGCGTAAAATATCACCTAAATATTTTCTGTGTATCGCATAGAAATACGCCAAATATAGAATTTGATTATAGATTGACGCGAATTAAAGATATAAAGCAATAAATCCGAACCTACCTCCCGCCAGATGGCGCCATTTTTCTTGCCCTGACAGCACATCGAGAGCGGAAAGCGAACTAGTTCCAGTCCTACTCCGCATCACAGCTGAACCAGAGAGCGCGTATGAGCGTTTTAATGCCCTGGCTTATTACGTCCTGTTACTCATGGTGCTCCGCTTTGCACAAAAGCCTTGCTTTGGAAGGGGGCCGGAATGATATATATATAAGATATAAGATATATTTTTTTTCAGCTGCCTTAACTAAACAAATATTGTTTGGAGTTCGAACTGGCTCCTGGGCACGAGGTGATAAAAAGGCTCAAAATGCATCATCTGTGGGTCTACACGCTGTATCCCATTTCATACCGCAACGGCTACAGAATGTGATAAAAAAAACAAAAAGGGCATGCCAGTTACTGAAATTTTGAATACATGTACTCGATAGAGAAATAAACATCTTCTAGAAATTTCATGTAAAAATAAAGTTTTGATGAAAAGTTATAGTGTATGAAATTGGAGGAGGAACGAACTTTTGGGGCACTGCGTGTATGCTTACATGACTGAGGATTTTTAGAGACACTTTAATCTCAATACTTGTCTTCGTAATTGAAAGCTGTTGTCTCTGTAAATGTTTCACCAAATTATATTTGTTTTGTTAATTGTTAGTAGTCTCTTTCGCAATTTTAATCGCCGTGTCCCGTTGTTTTCAGTCGTACATGAACATCGCTTGCAGGAGAATTCAATCGGAACCCATATTGCCGTTCGTATCAAACGCTTTTAAAGATTACACATAACAAAACCATTAAATAAACTATCAATGTTCATTCAAACACGACAGCTCTCACTGCAAATTTTTAGCTTGTCAAAGGTAAGAACCGGATGGCCGTGTACTGTATAGATGATTTTGGAAAGGTTTTGAACGTTCTCGCTAAAAGACCATAATTACCCTGCATGCCACATAGGAGAGGATTGTTGCGTTTTCCAGTTCTAATCCACTGTGATCGAAGGTGATTGCTATTATTTAAGNTCAAAGGTAAGAACCGGATGGCCGTGTACTGTATAGATGATTTTGGAAAGGTTTTGAACGTTCTCGCTAAAAGACCATAATTACCCTGCATGCCACATAGGAGAGGATTGTTGCGTTTTCCAGTTCTAATCCACTGTGATCGAAGGTGATTGCTATTATTTAAGTATTTGGGTGTACACATAAGACTGTTAACTCGATGTAAGATTTGTTTCACCCTTAGACTGTTTGTAAATTACTTTTTTCTAAAATCACTTAGCCTTTCGCTCAAAAGTCACATGAATGCGTCCTAAAGTTAACTGATTTGTAGATTACAAGTTTATTGTTTGATTTTAAGCTTATTAATGGGGGCCTCGCTTTTAGCCCTGGCTAAATATATATATTAATGCCGTCTCAGAGGGAAGTCAAAACGAACGCCGATCATTGAATAGTACCTGGCATAGCAAGCATTTCCGCGCGGGTTCGTCGAGAAAGTTGGGACAAGTGCAAAAACTGAAGAGGCTGGGCACTAAGTTCATCATTACCTTTCATGTTTCTAGTTGGGTAAAGCGTTCAACTTCCTTCAAACTGTAACGACGGCATCAAAACCGAAAGTTTGCTTTTATGCTATTGAAGGAGATCTTCGTTTGGGACAAACGCAATGTCGTACCAAGAGTCTTCTGGCATTTTGGTCAGTGGGGCAACGTCAAAATAACCTAAGTACGCGGTGTAACCATCATCTAGTGGTTTCACGTTAGTTAATCTTCGTAGCTCTATACTACACAGCGCTACATGGGAGCCAATCCACGACAAATTTTCATCAATTGAGACTCCAGGAGATTTATAAACAGTCACCCCTTCTATAGGCATATTGTTAACCTTAACCCTGAAATTATCTGACAGTAGTTACGTAGTAGTTCAAGTCTGGGATGACTCCCTATCATCATGTATTTGGTACTCTTTTTGACCGTTAGAGTGAGCTGATTCACCTTTAAAAGCCATGTTCGAAATTTGTTTAGATCAAAATTCATTTTAACTTGTATGAGGTATCAGCATCTTGGTGTTGTCCGCATACATTCTGGGCCCTCGGGTTCAATTGACATAAGGGAAGGTAATTTATGTATAAAATAAACAACAGTGGACCGAGAATTGATCCTTGAGGACGTTAACATACAGAAATTAGGAAGTTCATCGTAAACTGAAGTTTTCTGTTGTCGTGCAGTAAGATATGATTTAAACTATGCTAACGTTTGGGACCTAACTCCATAAACCTCAAGCTTTTGGGGAAGGATAGAATGGTCCATGGTGTCAGGAGGCCTTTTTTAGATCGAAAATATTATGCGATTTGGGAGAGATTTATCTATATTTTTAATCCACTCATTCGTTGCCTCTAATAGGGTAGTTTCTCTGGAAAACATTTAGGCCCGAAACCTGATAGTGATTCTGTTAAAAGGTTATTTTCGTTTAGGTACCCATAGAATTATAATACAACTCTCTCGATCAGTTAACTAACAACAGGCAAAACTGAAATTGGCCGGTAATTATCAGGGTGAACTTTGGCACCCTCTTTGGAAACTTGGGAAACTCTAGCATGCTTCCATTCATCTGAGACAATTCCAGTAATAATTGAGAAATTGATTATGAAAATCAGAGAGAGGTAACTATTGGTGCTACTTCTTTAAAGAGGCGCACTGATATGCTGTCGTGGTCACTAGTGTTAATAATAATAATACTTATTTATTTATAAACACGATTAAAAATGCGGCAAAGCTGATGTGGTCGTATGCATAACAATAATGTTAAACTTCCCAACTAATCACGATAAGACTAATATAAGAATTCTACGTATTTTCAACAATAAAAAGTTCTACGCAGCACATCATTATAATATATGTGGCTTAAAAATACACTTGAGTGACTTTTTGAAAGCGTCAATGTCATGAATTGATCTCATTTGGTTTTCTAGAGCAAATAATTGACTTGTATGAGCATGATTTCGTGACCATATCAGTCTTAGGCTTGGGTGACTTGAAGGTCATTTTCCTCCTGAGATCGTAGCTGCTTACATACTTTTCAAAAAGACAATTCATAGGCCATGGTAAAAGATGATAATAAGCCTGATTAATAATTGTTCCTCATACATAGCCTCTAAGGCATTCCATTTTTCTGTGGTAAGAACTTCCTTGCCTGGCGTACACCAATCTAAGTTAAACATTATTTTTGCCGCTCCGCCATGTATAGATTCTAGGTTTTAGAAAAGTACTTGAACACAAGAGCCCCAAAGTAACATACCATAGATAGCAGAGGGCAAAAATAATAGAAATCAGTTCTCGCCTGTCTCGGCAGGAATTACAATGATTTAAGTTAGTTCAACTTTTGCGTAAACGACTTCTCCAGTTCCGATACTTGATGATCCCATTTAAGGACAATGGAAATGTGTGAACAGGGACACTAGACAGGGTAGTGTGAGTGGTCCGTACTTATTTAGCATTTTTATTAATTATCTGGAAATCAGCATAGATAATCACCCTGCGCTGTTTAAATACGCGGACGACTCTCCTCTCATTGTTCCCTTTTGGAGTTATGGCCATTGTCCTGCGGATTTGGTTGATTTGGTTGATCAGGTTGATCAGTTTTTAATTTGGTCCGAGGAAAGTAGTATGATTTGTAATCCGTCGAAATGTAGAGAAATTATTTTTTCGCAAGAAAGGTTTTATTCAGGATATTGCGCAAGTTAATAACATTCCGCAATGACGAAACTGCCCATTTTAGGTGTTACGTTTCGGGAGAATTGTAAATATGGCGAACACGTACGTGCTAAGTTGTTTAAAGCAAATAAGTGTCTGTTTGTATTAAGATCTTTACGGAAGGAAGGTTTCAGTCAAGGTGAAGTAGACCACTTATTTAGCGCCTTAGTTTTACCGAATTTCACTTATGGTCTGACTGTTTATGGCGCTGTAGACTCAGGTCTCACGGTCATACAAGACTTTCTGGATCGATGCTTTAAAAGGAAATACACATGTAAGGGAA